AACACACAAACATCTACTCATTTTTATTTTTTTATTTGACTTTATTTTATTTTTACTTTTCGAGAGAGACAGAGAGAGGGAGAGCGCGTGAGTGTGGGAAGGGCAGAGAGAGCGGAGGAGAGAGAAAATCTTAAGCAGGCTCTGCCCTCAGCCCAGAGCCCAAGGAGGGGCTCGATCTCATAACCATGAGATCATGACCTGGGCTGAAATCAAGAGCGAGATACTCAACCGACGGGGTCTCCCAGGCACTCTTACATCTATCCATTTTTTTTTTTTTTTAATTTTTTCTTTCAACGTTTATTTATTTTTGGGACAGAGAGAGACAGAGCATGAACGGGGGAGGGGCAGAGAGAGAGGGAGACACAGAATCGGAAACAGGCTCCAGGCTCTGAGCCATCAGCCCAGAGCCCGACGCGGGGCTCGAACTCACGGACTGCGAGATCGTGACCTGGCTGAAGTTGGACGCTTAACTGACTGCGCCACCCAGGTGCCCCTCATCTATCCATTTTTAAAGGTGCTTTTAAAATGTGTTCTGCCTAGGGGCAACTGGGTGGCGCAGTCAGTTAAGAGTCCGGCTTCAGCTCAGGTCATGATCTCATGGTTTGTGAGTTCAAGCTCCACATGGGGCTCTCTGCTGTCAGCACAGAGCCTGCTTTGGATCCTCTGTCTCCCTCTCTCTGCCCCTCCCCTGCTCATGCTCTCCCTGTCTCTCAAAAATAAATAAACATTAAAAAAATTTTTTTTAAGTTAAAAAATAAAATAAAATGTGTTCTCCCTAAATCTTCGTTTCATCTCTTGCTTTTCATCCCATAACAGTATGACAGAGCCAGTTTTCCACGTCAGGACATTACATTGTCATTCTTTTTAACAGTTTTGTCACAGACTAGCTGTGTGACCCTGCACAGGTTGTTTAACCTCTCTGAATCTTGGTGTGCTTAATCTCTAACTGGGGGTTAAAATGTGGTGGCATTAAAATGAAATAAAATAAAATAAAATAAAATAAAATAAAATAAAATAAAATAAAATAAAGTAAAGTAAAGTAAAGTAAAGTAAAATAAAATAAAGTAAAGTAAAGTAAAATAAAATAAAGTAAAGTAAAATAAAATAAAATAAAGTAAAATAAAATAAAGTAAAATAAAGTAAAGTAAAATAAAGTAAAGTAAAATAAAATAAAATAAAATAAAATAAAATAAAATAAAAATGTAGTGGTCCCACAGGGTGACTATGAGAATTAAATGCGTTCATACGTACAAGGCATCTTGCATAGTGCCGGACACATACTAAGCACTCAAAAAAACAGTAACCCTTGTTGTTAATAACTCCATGTTTAGCTGCATGATAATTTATTTAACCAGTTCCACCCATATGGTCACTTAGTGTGGTATGTTTGCAGAGACAGCCACAACAATTCCTCCCATCCTGGTACGCATGACTCTTTGCAATATGACTTCGGTGCATTTGTCATCTACAGATGGAGTCTGTTTCTACTCTCCTTGATTCTGAGCTGGCCACGTGATGGGCTTTGCTCAATAAAATGCAGCGAAAGTGACGGTCCAGCACTTCTGAGCCTAGGCCTCAAGGGGCCTTGCTGCTTTTTGTTCTTTTCCCTTTTGGAGGCCATCATGTGAGGAAGCCTGAGCTAGCTGCTGAAGAAGCCACATGAAGAAGAACCAAGGCCCTTAAGCCAACAGGCCCAGTCAACTGTCAGACATGTATATGAGCCTGTATTGGGCCAGCCGGCTTGCCGATACGCTCAGTAAAGGGGCACTTGGGTGGCTCAGTCGGTTGAGTATCTGACTTCGGCTCAGGTCATGATCTCACAGTTTGTGAGTTCAAGCCCCGCGTCAGGCTCTGTGCTGACAGCTTGGAGCCTGGAGCCTGTTTCGGATATTGTGTCTCCCCCTCTCTCTGCTCTTATAATAAACAAGCAAATAATTATTAGTCTAACCCATTCTGTTTTGGGGTGCTTTGTTAAGCAGCAACAGAAAGCTGATACAGTTAGGTCTAGTGCAGAGAGGACGACCCATGTTGGAATGCAAGTGACTTTTGTCACGTCTTATAACCTCTCTTCACTTCAGTTTCCTCATCTGAGAATGGAATACTTTAGTTCCTACCTCATCAGGCTGATGTGAGGATTCAATGAGATGATGAACATTCACTGTGAGGCTCAGGGCAAGTACTTCAACTCCTAACTGTGATTACTGCTTTTGTTGTTTGAAGGGAGTCTACACTGAATGGTTATAATGTGGGGTGCCAGGAAGAATAAGTGACGAAGATAACTGAGCTGGTCTTTGGAGGCTCCGTAACTAGATGAACACCGGAGAATGGGACTTGGGACAAGCGCGGTTGGCGCTCGTCTCTGCCCTGCTTAGTGCCAAGGATTGTATGTGTGTGCCTGGGTGAGCCCTCTGTGTGAGGTCATGGGTGGAGGCTGGAACTGGGTGCAAGAACCAAGAACTAACACTGTAGGAGGGCCTGAGACCATAGGAAGGGTGTGAGGGCTAAGCCTTGGGAAATACCCCCATTCTTCTCAACGTGAAATCTCAGACTCCTCCCCCTGGACGGCATAAGCCCCGCCCATCTCTCCCGCCGTATGCCCTCCCCTTCTCCCCCTCGCTCACTGCACTTCAGCCATCCTGGCCTCCTCCTTCCTCAAACTCTTTCCTGCTCGCGGATCTTTGTACTCACTGCTCTCTTCTCCGAGGGAATTTCTGAACCACTCATGCTATGGCTCTCCCACTTCTATTCGTTTTCACAGCTACTTATCTTTTTCCTTCATAGCAATTATTGTTGCGTGAAACTACATTTGTTCATTTGCATACACGCGTACTGTTTTTCACTCTAGAAAGTGGGCTCCACAAGGAATTGGTATCTGTCTTGCTCGTACCCCACCCCCAGCACTGTCTGGCTCAGAACAAGTGATGAATCGCTAGCTGTGAACTGAATAAATGTGAACAAAGGAGCCATGAGAGCCAACAAACAAACAAAAAACAAAAACCATGGTCCAAGAGCTAAGTGGAAAGCCAGTCATTTCCTAAAAAAGGTCTTCATGAAAATCTTGGGATCAGCTTCTCCAACCTTCTCAGTCCACAGGTGGGGAAACAGGCCCAGATAACAGATCGGCCCACTTGAGAGCACCCAGAAAGCCATTACCATAGATGCCCAGCCCACTGGGGTCAAATGCTGCAGACCTGTCTGGCAAATGAGGCCCAGAGAAGGTCACAGCCACCTCCTTGAGGCCATCGCTGTACATCTGAAGCTGTGGCCACCCCCATCCTATAGGGGAGGAGATCGTCTCTTTGGGAACAGAGGTGCCAGTAAGCTGACAAACTGTGAAAGGAGGGCTGGAGAGGGTGGGAAGGCCCATTCCTGGGCCAGGCAGCTGTTCTGAGGCAGCTCAGGGATAATAGCTGGTACGAAAATAACCCAGTCTCCTCACCCTTGTTCCAGCCCTCACACCTCTGCCCCACTAGAGGTGAGGCTAACACTTGAATTCCTCTCAGTAACACACGAGGTTTTAGCAGGGCCTGCGCAGAGGACAATGATCATCAGACCCAGCCCTGTCCACTGGGGGCTCACAGTCTGATGGAGGAGGCAGGCTAGGGACCTGTCAGGCTGCAGAGTGACCACACCTACGTCTGGGGACGTTCAAGGGAGGGATGATCCCCAGAAAAAAGGACCCCTGAATTAATTTGATTAGCCAGTTCAGGAGGTGACAGTAACAGAAGTAACCGCCAGTGCAAAGGGAGAGAGGCAACACAGATGAGCTGCAGGAATAGTTTGCAAGCTTTCGTGGGTAGAAGCATCAGAAATCTGAGAGTGGAGGCACAGAATAGGAGGCTAGAAATGGGAGCAGTGTCAAAAAAGGTGGGGAATTGGGGCTGTTCAATTTATGCGGGAATTCGGATGTCAAGAGAACTTGGGCTATCTTTGGTGCACCAAAGGAGAGACCTGGAAGATTTTATTTTATTTTTTTTTAATTTTTTTTCAACGTTTATTTATTTTTGGGACAGAGAGAGACGGAGCATGAACGGGGGAGGGGCAGAGAGAGAGGGAGACACAGAATCGGAAACAGGCTCCAGGCTCCGAGCCATCAGCCCAGAGCCCGACGCGGGGCTCGAACTCACGGACCGC